CATTGTGTGCTTCACGACTTCACGCCACTAGGTACAATAATTAATTTTTATTATACAGTTGCACAGAGATAAAAAGTAATTAAAAAAAATAGTACTTATAAAGATGGAGGTGGTAATTTATATAAACAGACAGTGTTTCGTATGCTTTAGTATTTACCTAGCTCTTTCGATTTTTGGTGTTTCTCCCTTTTTTAATTTAATATGACCTCGCGAAAGATATTTTTTAATTATCTTAGAAATAACGTTAGATGGTAAGTAATATTTCATCTAAAACATATTATATGTAAGGATTACTTTTTATATTTATAGCTAATTATCAGTCTAAATATTATATTAAAGGCCTTACTAGTGGTTTTATTCATAGTTATGTCGTTTTTTGATATAATAAAATTTGGATCAGATTAAATTTATTTATGATTAGTTTTATTCTGAGAATTATAATAATTGAAAAGTTCTTGAAAATCTAAATACATATTTACTGAAGTAATATTTTTTCATTTTTAGATCTTTATCCTCGATTCATATCTCGAGGATAAAAATCTAAAAATGAAAAACTATAATAGATAAATATTATCACAAATCGAACATAAAGCATTTTTATTAAGGACCGCATTACCCATTATTTAAAATTTAGTTTACGAAGAAAATATCATTAATAATGTTGATACTACACGATTTGGTTAATTAAATGGATAAATGAAACTAAATTGGCAAAACCATGTAGAGAAATGGGTAAAAAGAGTTCAGCATTAATTTCAGCCCTCTCTAAGCTTTTCATGACCTTCTACACCGACACAATAATCACGGCTTATCAATCTATATTTAGTTTTTTTTATTATTTGCTATGGCAACTCTACAAGTAAATATATAATTTTTGGAAGCAAAAACAACTGTAGACTATAGAGAGTGGTAATTACTCGAGCACAAACTACTGACACTTCCATCTCTATAAATGTTTAAGAAATTTCGAACATGCAATTTTCCTTGCTTTATCCAAGATCTCGCTTTTACTAGTTCGTAGTTACTATGCGTTATCAGAAACTCACTTACACGTAAGAATAAATGTGGAACAAGAGAGAGAGAGAGAAGGAAAGAGAAAGACGAATAATTTAAAATGATTTTAAGTACTTTAAACTGTGTGTTTAAAATGTGACTGTGGAGAGTACAGTATTTAAAACAGCAAGTGGATGCGGTGTATCCAAAATACAGTTTATAAATTTAGATAAATTAGACGAATTAAATAAATGTGCAATAAAGAGAAAAAACGCAGATTCTAGTGATATTAATTAAAATATTATATTATTATTGACTTTAATTTAATTTGAAATTTTTATCTATTAAGCTTTATCTTTTAAAATATAAATAGTTTGAATTTTTACTTCAAGTTGCACTGATGACTCGCTATGGTCTTAGCGCAAACGAACTATTGCAATAGTGTAAACGACAAAGCCCATCAAATCTGTAAACAGAAGTGGCATTAAGCCGGCCATGTAACTTAAAGAACCGACAGCCGATTGGGAAGAACGTTTTTTAAGTGGGAGTTTCATGCATGTGTTAAAACACCATTAGATGGAGTGACGACCTGATAAGACAAAAAAGTAGGTAATTGTGGTTAAATAAGACTCAGGATCTTGCTTTATGGCATTCATTGGGAGAAACCTATGTTCAGCTGTGTATTGTATGATGGCTGTGAAAGGATGTAATGAGAGTGATAATGAGGTTTTCTGACCATAGTTTTCATCACCGCCGGGCACGTAGTAAATTATCGCTTAAAATTGCAAGTGTCATTTTTATTGAAGCATTAAAATTAACTTGCACAGTTCACAATTAATTTGTTTCGTAATCATTATTAATTAAAATTAGCGAAAGGAAAACAATATATTTAAAAGGCAATTTACTTATATATTTCCAGGGGTTCTACTCAAACGAAGTTATCATCTCTTTATAAAGACGTTGTCATAGATTTTGACAATTACGCACCAAAGATAATTGATAAGGGATTAGCTAATGCCACGTTTATAAAATCGGCGGCTGTGAAATCAAGAATTAAAGAGGTATCTGTATAATATTTAATCATAAGCAGATATTAGAGAGAATTTTTTTTTAATCCTCGGATTAAATTTTGTAAATGGAATAAAATATAACATATACAAATTAAAAATTACAGTTGTATGAATAATACAGTTGTATTATTTATTCGATGGTTAACTTTTTCTGATGATTGATAAAACAGCCCTCAGTGTAAGGGGAAACATGTCTGCTTTTTTTCCAAATTACAATCTCAGCTCTAACGAACGCATGATGGCGTATAAAATTCACCCAAAAACGCTAACCTAAATTTTATAACTTTTTAAAACTTACTATAATGTTCCAAAAAATCTTTGGAGAGAAAATTTGATGTGTCTTTAAAATAAGTCAATAATTTGTTTTAAAAGTGAAATAAATTCAATCTGTAAAGTATGAGTAGTACTTTTTTTTTGCGCCCAGAAGTTATTGAAAAGGGCTACCTCCGTAAACGAGAGGGAGGTGGTGAATGCTTTATACGAGTACATACCATGACAGCCGGCTGTCGTGGTTATGTGGGACTCACTGTAACTAATCTAACCTAACCACCCTAAGTGCCTACCCACTAAACACCACCTGTGAGACTGGCATTGGCTTATGAGGCCTTTCTGCCGAATCGGAAGCGACCCTCTTTTGGGAAAAGGGGGCGCAGGCGGCTACGAGCCGCCCTAGTAGTACTTAAACTAAAAAAGTTATGAAGTTTACAATATGCTTACACACATTTTGGTTAATCACTATTCTTACATTTCGTTTTCCACTAGATGTTTTCTGCTGAAGATTTATACATACATACTACTACATACTGTGTTGATAAAATACAGAGTTCTTAAACTTATTACAAATCGCAGCGTCGGCTCACCCACCCGGCTACGCTTGACGACTGATGCGAGCTTCGTTCTACAAAACTCTATGCTTGCGGAGATAAGCGTCCACACGGGTTGCGATGCTTAATTGACAGTCTGTTTTGGGAGACGTTTTCATAATATTTACCAACTCTAGCATTCCGCTTATCTTTTTTGTTGGTCCCAGAAAATCAATAATTGATGAACTCTGAGGCCTTTTTGCATCAAGTTTGTTGCAAGTTCCTAACATCGTTTGTCAGTCTAATGATATAAAAAGTAAAGTTTTCAGAATATTATTTGATTGGACGAAAACCAGTACAAGGAGAATTTATGGCGTTTGCATATGAAACTCTTGAAAATCCCGAAGTGATTAGTGAAGAGCTGCTTAAAAAAATGCAAGTGATAACCTGCACGGTTGAAATGGTACGTTTTTAGAATGATGGTACTAACTTTTTAGAATAAATAAATAACAATTAAATTACTACGCACTTAACATTAGTGTGTATAAAAGTCGGCTGTGAGGAATAGGGATCAGTCAGTTGTTTCATAACCGCCAATAAGTAACCTATTTTATTGGATCGGAATGCTAAAGCTAAAGCTAAGTAACTTATGTCTTTTGTTATTATACTATATTTTTTAAATGTTAGTGCCATTTGTGACCTATGTATTTTGGTATTATGTATTGTTGGTTTGTTCATACTAATTGTATAAGACAACATAATATTATGTTGTCGTATATAATTAGTACAATATTATTGTAAATATTGTATTGTAAATAGGCAGTCAGGGGGTTCTCATGCTGGTCTACCTTTCCGGTGATCCCGGTATGGAATACGGGTACGCGACCCCGGCTCCCCGAGCTACTGTTATTCTCATACCTTTCCTGCCGAGATAACAGTATCCTTACACCTATGCTCCTACCCCCAAACTTCTTTTTCCTTTTCCCAAAATGGTAGCTTCCTCTACCAGCAATAGCATACCCAAAGAGGGTTGGTGTCAGGCAGGCGGCCGACTGTAAAACTTTTGCCAAATCCCATGCAGTAAATGAATAGTACGAGTTGTGGGACATATGACAGGGCTAGGGCGTACCCCGCAGGCGACGCGCAGGGGCAGCACCCGGCTCCTGTGGGAAGTGGGCAAGGGTTGTCGCACCTTACGGAAGCGGGTGCGACGTAAGAGGCGAGCCCGGAGAGAGAAGAATGTCAGAGTGAGGTTTGCAAGCTGGAATATAGGTACGATGACTGGAAGAGGAAGAGAGTTAGCAGATGTTTTGAAACGACGAAGAGTGAATGTTGCCTGTTTGCAGGAAACAAAATGGAAGGGCAATAAAGCAAGAGAGATTGGGGAGGGATACAAGTTTTATTATTGTGGAAGTGATGGGAAGTGAAATGGAGTAGGAGTTGTGTTAGATAGTGGAATGAAAGAACGAGTGACAGATGTGAAAAGAGTAAATGACAGAATGATAGTTGTTAAATTAATGATTGAAAACAAAGTAGTGAATGTTGTAAGTGTATATGCTCCGCAAACAGGCTGTGAAGAGAGTGTGAAAGAGAAGTTTTGGGAGGAATTTGATTGTATGATGATGGGAATACCTGAGCGTGAGGATGTTTATATGGGAGGAGATTTTAATGGACATGTAGGGAGAGTGAATGACGGGTATGAAAGAGTACACGGTGGATGGGGTACGGAGTGTGGAACCGTGAGGGGGAAGTTCTTCTGCAAGCAGCATGTGCTTTCGACCTGGCTGTAATAAACACGTGGTTCCAAAAACGAGATCAGCATCTTGTTACTTATAAAAGTGGCCACCACGCGACACAGATCGACTATCTTCTGATAAGACGGAACCAAATCAAGAGTGTAAAAAACTGCAAAGTGCTTCCAGGTGAAGACTTAGTATCCCAGCACCGAATTCTGCTGGCTGACATCTGCTTAACTGTTCGCCTCAACAAACATAAGGATCGTCCCCCACCCAAAATAAAGTGGCATTTGCTGCATAAGGAGGGGTATGCAAGTGAATTTAGAGAGCTAGTTGTAAACAAGATGATAGAGATGGGTGATATGGAAGGAATGAGTGTGAATGAGTGCTGGAAGGAAATGGCTGATTGTATCAGAAGTGTGGCAAGGAAGGTGTTAGGAGAAACAAAAGGGAAGCGTATGATAGATAAGGATGGGTGGTGGTGGAGTGAAAGTATTAGAGAAGTTTTGAGAGAAAAGAAAAATGCCTTTAAAGAATGGCAGAGCGTAGAAGACCAGAATGAATCCATAAAAGAAAGTAAGAGAGGGGCGTATAAAGAATGTAAGAAGAGAGCGAAGAAGGAAGTTGCTATTTGTAGGGCAGAGGCGCACGATAAATTATATCGGTCCCTTGAAAGCCCCGAAGGTCAAAAACGACTTTTTCAAATTGCAAGAGCGAGAGAAAGGAATGGAAGAGATGTTTCACATGTAAAATGTATAAAAGATGATTCTGGAAGGATTTTGACTGACGATGAAAGTATAAAGAAGCGATGGAAGGAGTATTTTGAGAAATTGATGAATGACGAGAATGAATGGAATGGTATGCTTGAAAACCCACCAGTGAATATGGGCTTAGTGAGAGAAATTAGTGTGGAAGAAGTAAAAATGGCTGTTAGGAATATGAAGAATGGGAAGGCGGTCGGCCCAGATGGAATACCAGTAGAAGTGTGGAAGTTGCTGAGGGCGGATGGATGGAAGTGGTTGAGTTTATTTTTCGGTAAATTGTTGCAGGAAGAACAAATACCTGAGGAATGGTGCAGTAGTATACTGGTCCCCATTTTTAAAAACAAAGGAGACGTTCAAAACTGCAGCAGTTACCGGGGAATAAAGCTCATGTCACATACGATGAAAGTCTGGGAAAGAGTAATAGAGAGAAGAATGAGAGAAGAGTGTGAGATAACACAAAACCAGTTCGGATTCATGCCCGGTCGAGGTACGACAGATGCCATTTTCGCATTACGCCAATTGTGCGAAAAGTACAAGCGCGTGCATAAAGATCTGCACATGGTTTTTGTCGACCTTGAAAAGGCGTACGATCGGGTTCCCCGTGAGGTCGTGTGGTGGGCGTTAAAGATGAAAGGTATGCCTGGGAAGTATGTGAGGTTGGTCCGTGCTATGTACAGAGCATCCCGTACATGTGTACGATCTGCCGCGGGAACTACGGGCAGTATCGATGTGGCGGTAGGGCTGCACCAAGGGTCGGCACTGAGCCCTTACCTCTTCCTACTGATTATGGACGCTTTGACGTCGGACCTGCAGGATGAGGCACCCTGGTGCATGCTCTTTGCCGATGACATCGTGCTTGTCGGGGAAGAAGGCATCGAGGTACAGAGCAGACTGACGGGGTGGCAACGGAGGCTGGAAAGTGTTGGCCTGAAGATCAGCAGATCCAAAACCGAATATCTGTGCTGTGATTTCGGCGGTCTTTCCAGTCCTGTACCCATGTCGTTGGATGGCGCTATACTGCCTGTCAGCTCAGATGTCAAGTACCTCAGTTCCCTCATTCAAGGCGACGGCGGAATAGATAGAGCTGTGCAGCATAGGATTAACGCAGGGTGCATGAAATGGCGACAATGCGAGGCGATGAATGACGAAAGTAGCGCCAGTGGTAGAAAAGGTGAGAGGAAGCAGATTGGCATGGTTTGGGCATGTGATGCGGAGGAATGAAAGTCATGTCACAAAACGAGTGTTGAATATGAATGTGGAGGGACACACGGGCAGAGGAAGGCCGAATAAAAGATGGATCGATTGTGTGAAGAGTGATATGAGAATGAAAGGAGTAAGTATGGAAATGACGGCTGATAGAGAGGAATGGAACAAAAAGATTTACTGCGCCGACCCCAGATAATGGGAAATGGTTTAGAGAATGATGATATTGTAAATATATTTTATTTAAAAGAAATGTCCCGCTTTCTAGCTGGTTCTTCCCAGGACAGCGGTTTTCTTCGAACTAGTGGTAAAAGTACTATATTGACTAAAATTGTATTTTATTATATTCTAAATACTTTTTCTGTAACCTTACATTTAACATTAAGACAGTAAATTATAAATTATATATTTTAAAACTTTTTCTTTGTGACTCTACATTTTACAAATGCTTGTGACTCAGATTACTCGCAGAGTATAGGAGATTGTAAATGACCATTATTCGCGATTCTACTACCAGTCAGTGTAGTCGCTTCATAACGATGTAGCGGCTCTAATGCCGAAACTGCAATATTTTAGTGGAGAAGCATACCTACTGCACAAAAATAATTCCAAATAAATATATAAATTCAACCTAAATGCTTCGATACCATCGTAGTCCACTAATTCCTGACCGTTATTCAACAAAAAATGGATGTCGTGGACCAGGTGCCTTTGGAGGGATGGACGCGGTAAGAAAGATCTGCAAAACATCTTTAGGGTGTTCAATGAGACCGTGTGACATCCAAATTTTAGTCACACGTGATCTCAACAAGCTGCTTCCCGTGACGCTTGATCACGTAGACGTGACCAGATTGTCGAAAGACATCACCACGATAAAACCGAAGAGTTGAGGAAAGGAGTCACTATGTTGCGCAACATAATTATAATATATGTATATTATAATATATAATATAATACGACACGCGGTAAACTTAATAGTAGTCACGCGATACCGTATATCGGCGGAATGATGACCGTGAAACTTGGACGACCTCTATCGTCGTTGCATCACTATCTCACCTCTTGATTAAGCACACGAGTGCACATGAGTGTACATGAGTGATTGGGAGTGCCTCGCCACGCTTAGTTTTCGCGAATACAGGGACGCGTCTAAGAAGAAAGTCCCTAAATTGTGTTAGATTATGTTTGTTTTATATATATTTTTAGGTTAAGGTATATGTTACTATGGATCAATGCTCTTAATTTTTAAGTCATTGTTGCCTGTAATAAATTATGTAGTAGTGTATTGTATTGTGAGTTGTATTGTATTATGCAGGTGGCTCAGGACCGTGTTTCGTGGCATTCCTTGGGGGAGGCCTATGTTCAGCAGTGGACTTGTGAAGGGCTGTAATGATGATGATGATTGTATTATAATAATATTTGTTAATAAATATTCGTATGGTGATTGAATTACCAGTGAAAGTTTTACTGGTAACGCGGCATTCAATAATCCATCTCATCTCAGGGGTGACGGATCTGCATTTTGATATTTAATCAAGGATAGATGTTGGCAACAGTATCCACTTACTATTATTGTGAACTGTGTGCTATTTGTTTATCTTAACTATATAAAAAAAATTGCAGGTGCAAACATATTTCTTTTTCTGGGACGATTTTGAGGATGGCGGTAGAATACGTTGCGGAAAGCCATGTTGGCATTTACGTCCAGACACTGGGTTGTTAGCGTTAAACGACACCTGTATAATGAGAAGCTTTATTGAAGAATTAGTTAGACAAAATTTCACGGCTGAACTACGTGATGATATTTTGCGTATATATAATAGGGTAAGTATGATAAGAGTTCTTTGCTTATTTACTTTTTATTACTTATTTAATTTATTTCTGACATATTTGCTGTCGACGTGTGGTGGCAGCGTTAGAATATCCCCCGTGCCATTTCATTGTATGGATGTCGTGAGAGGCGGCTACAAGAAATGTCAATAAACTTTCGTCGCTACCTATAGATGGTGATATATTGAGGGCATCCACGACTTTTTCAGCCACCAGGGTGGCGCCACTAGAAAGTAAGGTATAATATTTGACAGATTTCATAGAGGGGAAATTAAATTGTTCGGAAAATGTAAAGGTTATTGTTTCTTTCTGTACTATTAGCTATATTTTATATTAATAAGATTAAAAATAAATAATCCAAAACAAAAATATTCATAAAAATAGATAAATTTAAAAAAAAAGTGAAAAATGCGCAAAAAATTAAAGAGCAAACCACTGACGTATTGCTTTGTGTATATAATATGATACTCTAGAAACTGATAAACTTTTATTAAAAACCAATTTTTCAATTAAATGACATTGTGTAACTAAAAACTTTACTTCAGTGCCAGCTAGCGACATCTGGTGTGCAGAAAATTATTAGCCCTCATTACATCAGACGTTGAATACTTAGACGGGCAGCAGCATCAGCGATGCAAAGACAATTGGAATGTTAGAACATTGCAATTGTCAATCCGCCGGCCAAGCGTATCCTATGGAAACAAATCCTCCTAGCGATAGGAGAGGTTCATCGCCAACAGTAAACTTTTACGTACTGATGTAGAAGATTTATAGAATATGTATTAAAATTAAAAATATTGCAATGTAGAGTAAATTTGGACGAACCAGTAATGTTAATTATAAATTGATACATGATTTCAAATTATAAGTCACTCAGTTGACACCAAAGTTGGATGGACATCATAACTTTAATATTAATGATTTGTTATATTTACGCGAACACTACACATTAAGTAAAATTAACAGATTTTATCGCGTTTAATTCTACTTACTATACTTTTACCACCGACGTTTTGCTTGCTTTTCAGCACCCATAGTCACTACAAATTATTACTAATTGACGTCCCGATGTCAGGTATAACCAGAGACCTTCAGCATTTTAATTATTACTTTTAGTCTTATCTACGCACAATGAACTTAGTGTGTCTTGAAGTCTGGCATTGGTATGCTTGGGTTTAGTTTTAATTTTATTAATTACACGATCCTCAGCAGGCGGTAGTAAACAGCCTCCTCTATTGAAATTTGAAAGTTTTTTTTTAATTTCCATAGCCTCACGTATCATCCCTGGTAAGAATCGATGCTCTTTCGATTCCTACCAAGGATGATACGTGATTGTCAAATCTGATGTAATAGCCGTTTAGAATATGATCGGAAATTGCTTACTGAACAAAATTAAAACTAAACCCAAGCATACCATATCAATGTAAGACTTCAAGACACGGTAAGTTCATTCTACGTAGATCGAACCAAAGTTAATAATTAAAAAAACTGAAGGTACTCCGGGTTAATTCTAATATCGGGACGTGAATCACCTCGGTCCCTGTGGCTACGGGTGTTGCAAAGCACCGGAATCGATTGTAATTAAAAACAAAAATGAGTAAAATTAAACGCGATAAAATCCATAAAATTTGTTTTACTCCACTTTGATAATTATAAATGGCAAAGTTATCAAAAGCCCTGCACTACCTTACAGTAAAACATGTGTGTTGGTAGTTAGTTTTATTCTTGTTCTAGGTTATATAAACTTCATCTTAACTTACTAACTCCTTTTTTTCTATGAAATTGTTCTATTTTATAGATATATTTTATTAGTGCGATAGGCCAATACTTGGATACAATTGCAGCCAGATCAAATGATTACGATAACTTTACACGTGAACAATATAACGCTACAAACGTAATGAAATCATCGTTTTACGCAATCAAGTCCCCAATTTTACTAGGATTAGCACTTGCTAATAAGCTCAGTGAAGAATCCTACAATCACGTGGATAATGTTTGTGATGATATTGGCGTGTTACCACAAATTCATGTAAGTATTATTTTAATTTGTTTATAACCAAAAACAAATGGTAATATTGCAACAAGTTATAAAAGGGAATATATTATTTAAGTAGCAAGGCCAAAGAACGAAACTTGTGCAAAGATACATGGCGGAAATTTCAAAACCTGTCTCAAATACACCAGTCTTTTGATATATTATTATCTGTGGAGTTTATTGTAGTTTAGTGTGGAGATTATTGGTGGTTTTGCGCTCACCCACTCGCATCTTTTGTGCGCTAAGAGTGGGCAAATTTATTAATTTATTTGCACACCAAGTACAAAAACGCGGCAGTCTACCTCCAGGCTAAGCAGAGAATACACTGAGGGTGCAAAGTGCTATCAGCTAATTAAATAATACCTATGTCTACATAATATTACCATAACTACTACTACATACATATAAGATACATATTATAAACATAATTACACAAATATATTATATAGATATACCTTACCTTACTTTATCTTCACGCACAATCCCTGACGGGGTAGCCAGAGAGAACAGATCGCCAAGTGTCACGATCCTTACATACCTCTTTCGCTTCTTTCAGATTCATTATCTTCTTCATACATGCACGTCTAGGTATCCGAGTACTCTTGACCCTCCCCTCTTTGAGCAATTTGTTCACATGGTCTTCAAAAGTTAGTCTCGGTCTACCTCGACACCTTTTAATGTTTACTTTCGCGCTATATATTTTCTTCACAATTCGGTCTTCACTCATTCGCTCAGTGTGTCCAAACCATCGAAGCACGCCCTTATCAATTTTTGTGATAAGGTCATCTTTCAAACCTGCCATATTGCGAATCTCTTCGTTGCGCTGTCGGTCGGCCACGGTAACGCCGCACATTTTACGAAGAGATCGCATCTCCACTGTATTCAACTTACTTTTATGCTTTTTCTGGCTTACCCAGGTTTCGCTGCCATATAACAAAGTCGGTACCAACACTGCGTTATGTATTGCAAGGCGTGCACTCTTCACTACGCCTTGCCTTTTGACTAACGCTGTCAGGGCACCTTGACTTTGTTCCCGGCAGCGACACGCCTGTCCACATCTAAATTACATCATCCATTCCAGCTGGAAGTACTCCCCAAGTATACAATTTCATTTACCTGTTCTAGAAATTCCTGATTTACCCATATTTCACACTTCGTTCTCTTTTCGTCCCTTTCAAATACCAGAACCTTAGTTTTATTAGCATTCAAACGTAGACCTATAATTTCACATTCCTCTTTCATACACGTGACAAATAAATAGATATATATATATATTAAGAGAATATATATATATATACATTTAATAATACTTATATACATAATACATTATAGCTATTTCTGATTCAAACTCCTATAAAACAAGAAAAGGGAAAAGTTGGAATTTAAGGATATCAGAATGAAATTGATGTCCACAAATTACTCCTGAAACGTTAGATAGTGATTCCAGAGCAAGCGGTGGAAACGAACGATACCTTGCTCGTGGCTACACGCACACCGCCCGGTAGCTCGTTCCATAATCGTGACAGGGGAACATGGAGGTTGGATTTTTCCGTAGAACGGAGACAACAATTATGGGAACCACCCTGATACTGAAATTTGCATTTCATATACTCAGGGACAAACGGATCATGTAAAACTGAAAATAATGTGCACAGTATTATGGAATATCTGCTAAAACGGAGAGGTAGCTATTTAAGCTGAGAACGATAAGAGGAAATGTGGTCGTATTTACTTAAAGCAAAAACGAAGCGTATACAATTATTGAGAAATTGATCCAGTTTGTTTAGTAGTTCTTGCGGAGCATCAGCATAGCAAACATCCTTATTATTAGCATTGCATGTGTTCTTTTACGCGGGTTTTGATATATCGTTTTGTTTGCTCTATATATGAGCATCTTGTAGAGGGATATTGTACTTGACGGATGGTAAGAACTGACTAATCTTCTTCGGCGGCTTGAAGAATGTTCTAATAGAAAAGCTTTAAGAAAAAATTACTTCGCAAATATCCGCGTTATAAAATAAAATGATGTGTCTTACCTAGTATGAAGAACACCTCCCGCCCTTCCTCAATTGCGTGCACTAACCCCGTCACCACTAATCCCAGCACCGCTATTCCCAACACCACTACACTAGGCAAGACACACCACTGACGATAATACGACACGTGTTTCGCCTCTACATCGCATGTTGTTCGCAACTCTCTGTACGCGGTTCAACCTCAAAGTGTTCATCGATATGTGAGCAGTTTGACCTGCTTAGGCCTTATCTGAAAAATACTTATCTGAAAAAGTAGCTAATACTCTTCGACAAAACGGCGTTTATGTGGCATTCAAAACAAACAATTCTCTTAGAAATATCTGTAATAATAAAGATAAGTTGGATATTCGTCAAAAGTCAGGTGTTTACAAACTTGTTTGTAACGAATGCCACGCCGTTTACGTGGGTCAGACTGGTCGCAATTTCGAGATACGTTATAAAGAGCATTTAGCCGCGTACAGGAATTGCAATCCCGATCAATCCCATTTTGCCAAACATCTTTTGGACACTGGACACAACCTAGCCAACGACCACTCCTTTAAAGTCTTACATACGTGTAATAAAGGGCTGCGGCTGTGTGTGCTGGTACAGTTAGAGATATTAAAAAGTAACAATAGTACCGTTGCATTGCTGAATGAACAAACAAATATTACTAACTGACCTCTCTTAAATATCTTTAAGCCTGCTCTCTAATAATAGAGAGCCTCGCAATATGGTCGTTTGTCACCCTCACGGTGTTCGGCGATTGGTTGCGTGGTTGGAGGGTGGGCGTTACGCAGCGGTTTGTTTTTAATTTTATAAACGGCTGCGTTAGTCCGGCGGTGATTGGTCGCATGTTTTATCGCATGACGCAGTCGCTCGCTCCTTAAGTAGAGAGCGGATGCGTCATCGATCTGTATAAAAGGCACTTGTTTTGGCTCGCCGCTCACTTAGCGGTTAGCCACCGTAGAGTCTATATCACCTGAGGATGCCTCCTGTAGTAGCGAAACACGTGTCGTATTATCGTCAGTGGTGTGTCTTGCCTAGTGTAGTGGTGTTGGGAGTAGCGGCGCTTGGATTAGTGGTGACGGGGATAGTGCACGCAATTGAGTGAGGGCGCGAGGTGCTCTTCATACTAGGTAAGACACATCATTTTATTTTATAACGCGGATATTTGCGAAGTAAATTTTTCTAAAAGCTTTTATATAATGGATTTCCGCAAAGTAACGCTTGATTCTATTAATTATGTTCTAATAGAAGCTCGTTTCAAGATGTAGCGAATGTTGTCTGTGAGACCTCTGACATATAGTAGTACAGCTGGCACATGCTCGACTGTGGCCGGCTTCATTCGGTCACTGTGACGTAGGCGCGGGACCCGAAGCTTTTCATCGTGCAGAACCTGCTTGACATGCTGAAGCTTGGCGGCCAGGATTTTGCTGTCACATATGATATCTCTTACTCTCTCTAACAAATATTTCCCCACGGTAGCTAACTGTGAAGGATGATAGTTTGATTCACCGTTTAAATATCGGTTAGTATGGGTCTTTTTTCTATACACAGTATGATCTATGGTGTTATTAGGATTCCGGGTGACTAGGACACACGTCTAGGAAAGCTAAAGAATTATTTCTAACTCCATAGTAAATTGAATTTTGAAGTTTATGGAATCAAGATGTTCTAAAAATGCAGTTCCTTTGTCTGATGATAAAATTGTGAAAGTATCGTCCACGTACCGCTTGTAGAATCTTAGAGTTACATGTGCAGTTGGCAGGGCTTTCTCCTCAAAGTCCTCCATATCTGCTGGCATGTTGTTTTCCTCTAGTTTCCTAGTTTCAATTGAGATGCATTCTTCAACAGGTAGGCATGTAAATAGAGACTGAACATCAAAACTGACCATAGTTTCATTGTCAGTAAGACATAGGTATTTTATCTCACTGACAAAATGGTATGAATCCTTAGTGTGTACTCATTTCTATGTCTTCTTAGTAGTGATAGTATTTTTGTTAAGTGTTGGGCCAATCTGTAAGTTTGCGAATCGATCTGACTCACTATTGGACGTAATGGAGCGTTCGGTTTTTTTAGTTTTGGTAACCCATACAACTTCGGTGGTTGTGCCAACTAACAGGTTAACTGCGTGGGACGTTAGTCTAGATTAAACTTCTCGAAGTATTTCTTAATTAGATCGCTAGTTGTTTGATGTGTATTAGTTTAGGGTTTTGACCTTCTGTACGTACTTCTGTCCGATAAAATTTGTTGTATTTTAAAATTGTAATCCGATGTATGAATTATAACCGAAGCAGTACTGTTACGGCCTACGGCTGCTCCCTTAAAGGATCAGATCCCCAGGGGCCCATGAGCTGAAGTCCTCCCGAGCAGACGTAGGTCGGGCTCAATGTGGCCACGTGGAATCTCTCTAATTACTCTAAAATATATGGGGGAGAGTTATACTACGGACAGTCGACCGGAAGGAATTTGGCGGAGTTCACTTACCTCTATCCAAGGTGACTGGTCCCTCCGGAGTCGGTCAGGTCGCATGTGGTTGTGTAGTGCAAGGGAAAGAATGGTGATGTGGTGTGTATCTGGGTGTGACTGATGGTGATTGAACCTAGACCTTAGCCGTCGGCAGCAGCCCGAGCGTCGACACCGCTCCAACTTGAGGGGGCCTTTCGAGGTTATCCACAGTCACTTTCTTGGTTCACCACGATGACAGTCACTTAAATCTATCGTACTATTAACTAGCTTACCGAGGCCACTAACTATCGCGGGGTATAAGGTTACCGCACAAAACACGCCCGGAGTTTCTGGGTCAAAGGTCACTCCCGGTTCGCGTGGCAACAGATAGTTCTAAATACGGAGGCCGCACTAGCTTATATTGTCGAATGCACTTATACAGATTCTGAGTCGGAGCCAATAAGTCCCGGGAAAGGCTATCCAAACAGGGAATGCGCGTTATAATTCCTAGACAGGATATTTACTAGA